CTGTGTGAGGGGTACTCGCATGAGGGGGTGCGCGACTGGGTTTTGCACATAACACCGCAATGCCCCCATGAGCATGGTGAGCGGGGATGGCCATCCCCCCCCCTGAGTGCGGCTCCTATGTTGATATAGAGTCATATTCTTTGTCGGTGGGCGCCAGCAGCAATCGGTTAGGCACCTCCCGTTTCCCGGTGATTCAAAATCCTCACTTTTTCGGTGACCTTCTCAAAATTCGGTGATTTTCGGTGATCACCTGCGGAGCACACATACCCTCGGTCGGGGCCATTTTATTTGAGTGTTGTATCCATACTTCTTTAGGGTAAGTTAGCCTGCGACCACGGGAAATCGACCGCGTCGAGTGTTGGATCAGTACGGACATACGAAGGTACTGGGTAGATAGAGAGATCGGAACGGTTTTTAATGTGAAGACAACAACAACACTGACTGTCACTCGAGTGACAGGCCTACATTTCTGGCGTCAAGGGAGGGTCCAGGTGCATGTATGTAGAGGTGGAGGCGTGTTGCGAGGGTACAGCAAGAAGAGACAGGGAGAGGGGACCAGGTAGCCAGGGAGCGTGCTGGGGAGACATGGCGGTTCCCTCGGTAACTGGTGTTTAGGTGGCACATGTTGTTGTTGTTTTTCTTCACATTAAATTCTATAGAATCTATCTGATAGTCTTCTAGTGAATCGTTGCCCCTTGCCTCCGAAACCCGTCCGTCGCAGGTGTCTCATGAAGAATCAACCAACAACCAACCGTTGCAGCTTCGCGGCCGGTTGGCTTTACCTCCTCTCCTCTGTTACGATCAGCGTTCACAAGTCGACACATTCGCTGTGCGGGCTTCACTGCAGAGATCGAACACGGGAGATGTCAGGTGAGCTTCTATCTGTAACATGTGCAAAGTTACCGTCGATCTTCTAATAATTGTGTGTTGTGCCTTTGGATACGCGGTTGCCTGTCTTGTTGGCGGGTGAGCCCCGTACCAACAACACAATGTCCAGTTCTTGTCGTCAACACAACCTCCACCAGTTTTCCCACCGTTGGTTCTGCACTGCGCGTCGTGCCCGTGGGTCCTCTCTGTAGGCCGCGCCAGGCAGACCAGAGAAACGGACATCACGGGATCCCGCACACACACGGCGCAGAGACCTGGGAAGATTGCTTGAACTTGGGCTTTTCGACTAGTCTACTGTAAAATGCACCGCTGATGTCTACGGCCGTCCGCCAACATCTATCTGTAGATCTATTTTGATACAAACACGGAAGTCCAGTTTCCGGCACGAGTCACTCAATCTTCACGACTGAAGTCGGTTCCTGTTACCGCTTTCGCTCGCAAACCTCAGGAGGCCGGAGACGGGCACCGATCCACCGCGGCTGAGATGAGCACCTGCTTGAGGTGTGCTGCATGACCTCGCTCGTCACACTTTTTTTTGCCCTTCAGTATGTTGCCGTGTTCTTTCTACCCTTGGATGTGGCGAACACCAATAATGTATGGTTGAAATGATGATTCGCTAATCCCGATGTATGAGGCCGCGGCGTGCTCAATTTTTGAGAGTACTTACCACTGTAGAACACAACAATGATGAAAGGTCGATACCTTCATGCGTTGCGAGGGCTACTGCCGGGCGGTTACCCTTCGCGAAGAAGATGTAATTGATCATGCGGCTCGCTTGCAGCAAACCAAAGTAGAGCGACCGTGAGTATGCCCCTCCTGCTGTGATATCCACTGCGTCTCATACTTTGTTTCTGGCCGTGCGGCCGACCATGCTCAAGCTTCACGTTTTCCCCCCAACCCCCACCTCCGGCGGCGCTGCCCTCGCCTCCTTCCCCCTTCCCTTGGCCGAATATCCACACACAGGTTTTGTCGTCCCTTGCATGTTTCTGCTTGCTGCAGGGCGCCTCTTGTTGTCGGAGTGCAAACCAGGCCTAAGAAGCTGATCCAACATCCCGAAGGTGCTTGCCGGCAACAACAGCACTCTGCGAACCATGCCGATCCTGATGAAGCTCGGATTTTGCGACATGGTCGATGTCCTCGAAGTGTCCTCGTCTCCATACCAAACAAAATTGGGTGGGTGTAGATGTTGGTGCCGTTGGGAAATCGGTGTGATCGCTACTGGACACTGCATAATATCATGCAGATGGAGTGCGCTCTGCTGTTCAGGTCACACAGCAGCTACACCATGTTGTTGGTTATTGATGATTGGCGTTTCTGTTGGTAATCGTGAGGATTGGCATGCCAAATGTTGAGATGCACACCATGGGCAACACCACGCTCTCGACCATCATTGAAATGCTACAGACATGATAGCGGACACATCGGGTTCACGAGCATGTGAACATGCTCGTTGTCTCAATGAAATGTGGTGAATCGTGGTCAGTAGTGTGAGGCCGAGAGAAAACAGCCTCGAGCTCTTGATGTTGAAGAAACTATTGATAAATGTGCTTTGGCCGTCGTGCCCCCCTTTTCGTCCCACACCTCTTCGACAGCCGCGCATGGCTGTGTGTGTGTTCCAATTTTTGCTGTTTTCATGTTCAACGATTTGTTGTTCAGGATATGACTACGATGAAACGCAATTAATCAGCGATGACTTGTTGGTCACACCTCTGCTTATACCACATTACCACGGTGTGTCTACCGCAAACTTTATTTCCCATGCGCAAAGACCGTGCACGAATCAAACACCCCTCCAACCGTTCAGCCTCCTCTACCGGTCTGGTCTTTCCAATTTACCATTCGTTTGTGCATGGTCCTCTACGATGCGGCCTGCGGCCTGGCGCACGTCTATGGCAGCGGCAAGGTCAACCGCGACATCAAGCCGGCAAACATCATCGTGATGCTGGACATTTAGATTGGCAGCGCAACAGTCAAGGTAGCCGACTTTGGGCTTACGTGCAGTGAGAGGTGATGCGCAATAGTAGACATTCGACACCATCAAGAGTTCACACCCTGTACAACTGCAACTGGCAACTACAACTTTAGTTGTGCAGGGCAGCAACTACCCAATAGTTGTCTGCGGACAACTAGTTGCGCAGCTTTTTTTGTCTGCAGGCAGCTAGTGGCGCAGCTTGTTCAAGAAATAGTTGTCTGCCAGACAACTGACAACTAAAGTAGTTGTACAGGGTGTGCAAGAGTTCAAGTTTTGGCAGCAAGTACCTCATCAACTACGCGTAATGGATGCCCAGATGCCTCACGAAACATTGCAGAAACCCGGCTACTTTCTCCATTGCTAGCCTAGTCGAAGGCCTTGTTCCTACTCCCAGCTCCCCTAACAATGGTCTGCATAGATAGACATGACGAGTGAAACAAAGGTCACGCCCTTTGTTGCACACACCATGTCGACGCAGACCACCGCTACGGGGGGGTGGGATTAGGAAGAAGGTTCGGGACTAGGCTAGCAATGGAGACCACAGTCGGGTTTCTGCAAGGTTTCGTGCGTCATCTGGGTATCGATTGCATGTGGTTGATAAGGTACTTCTTGCTGCGACCAAACCTTGGACGCTTGATGGTGTCGAACATCTACTATTGGGCAACAGCACTCAACGCACGTGAGTCCAATGTCGGCCACCTTGCCCGTCACGCTGCCATCCTACCTGTCCAGCATGGCTACGATGTTCGCGGGCTTGATGTCTCCGTGGACGATGCCGTTGTCATGGACGTGCGCGAGGTCTCAGGCCGCATCGTAGAGGATTCTGCGCAAACGAATGGTAGAATGAGATGGGAAGACCTGGAGAAGAGGCTGCATGAACACTGAGAGAAAAACTATTTTTTGATTCGCGCACGGCATTCACGTGTGGTGAAATCAGGCTTGTGGTAGATGCACCGTGGTGAGCGTTGCACGTAGAGACCTCGGTGCAAACAATACACACTATGGCTGATTACATACGCTTCATCGTAGTCACATCCTAATCAACAGACCACGTGGAAAGGAGGCGTTGGTGGAGGAGGGTACCGTGTGGTTTGCAGCCACGCCCGGCTTGAAAGAGAAGGGTGAGGACGGCGCTGCAGGGCGTGGACAAGGGGTGACGAATAATCGCATCAGAACATTCGTCGACATCAAGAGGTAGAGCGCACAGTATCATATCGGGCCGTATGCTATACTGACCGCGATTCATCACACTTCTTTGTGGCACACGCACAGCCGCATCTCCGTTTGTCTACGTTCGATATGATATCCATCGTATTTCAACGATGGCCGAGAATATATATAAGTATAGATATGCCGGCATGAATCATGAATCAGCGTGCACACGACCGTGTGTGCCTTTTCGTAGTATTTTGTTATGGAAATGTTAGCACATAGCCATTATGAGTCAATGTTCAGTAGCACTGCACTTGTACGTCGTAGATCATCGTAGATCTGTTATGTGCCGGTTGGTATCTAACGTGCGTTGTATATGCGGAGGAAGTACTTCTGTAGGATTCTATGTTGCCTTGACGAGTAGCTCACTCTCTCGTGTGGATCCTTCCTGACTGTCTGGCATCGTAGCCATCCTGGTCATCTCCAGTACCCAGCCATCTTCTGGACTCCTGCATACTCTGCGGTTTATCTGTGTGTGTTGGCCACATAAGCGCCAGTGTTTACAACATCTTGTCACCTTCTTCATCACACGGAAGCACTCACGTATTCCAGGGCGTCCACTACACTAGTGTCACCAACTTGATTAGCGTCAAGGACACAGCCTCTCTGCCACCTTGCTGGGGTATACTACAATATCCATAATAGGTTATGAGCCTCGTGTGTGTGAGAGTGGAGGTCCGCGACGGCTGCGACTCTTTCCACTGTCGCAGAGGACTGCTGTGAGGCACGCACACCAGGATCTTCAGATTCTACTCTTTCCGCGGGGAGCTACTACTGCTGCTGGAGTCAGTTTTCTGCTGGAGGACACATTGAGTCAACCCGCTTGCTTATTGGGCCCGGACTGATCACCTGGACTCTCGGCTGCGCATTCGGTACGCAACTGTCTGTGTAAAGCATTCGGGGGCGCAATTTCTAGGCGCTGACTCCGGTCGGTGAATAGAGTTGTGCAGGTTGTTGGTTCTGCGTGCGGAGTGCCGTTATTTTTATACTCGGTTCCGCGCGTTTGCGACTGACTTCCGAATACCAAATCGCCTGCGTTTAGACTTTACACGAGGCGTAGTCTGTCCAAGACACCTTCCACATACCTTGTTGCCGGCTTGGTCGCGTGTGTAGGTTGAGGATACGACTGCTAGCTGGTAGCCGGCCGCTGCTACAGCTATACACGTGCTAGCTCACGTACAGTGTGCGCTGAAAGACGCGTGACACTACGCAGTGCACCTCGCTGTGTACCTGCAGGACCAGTTAAGTGGCCGGAGCTGACTACTCGCCACATCACCGCAGCCTCGTCAACTGCGGTTGGTCACAACTGTGCTCACGAGAGCGCAGTCGTCCGCGCGAACGCTTGCGAGCTTCCGGCGGACACGGGTCGCGAGCTCCGGTTCTGCGGCCTACTTTTCACTCTACCCCTGAGTAGACCTGCACCGCACACTTCCGGCGCGCCGGCCCTTCTCAGGTGATCCGGGCGTCTTGCGGGTGCAGGACTTTTCAAGACACCCATCGAGTGTTCCTGTCTCTAGGCTATGGCGGACTCGTTAAGCTCTAGTTCTGGGCTCCACCGCTTACTGGATTCGATAGGACAATGCTCTGGGTCTAATTTTCGCGTGTGGAAGGAGAGTTTTGAGCATGTCATCAACATCCATGCACCAGAGCTTCTTACGGTTTTGCGCGGATCGGCTCGGCCGGACCCTCTGGCGGCTACTCAGGCCGACGTTGCCGCCTGGGACAAGGCCAATAGCCGCCTCTACTCTCTCCTGTTCTTCGCGACTTCCAGCTCGGCGCGGCTCACCGTCCAGGCTCACCGAAATGCGGGCACCAGCACCGACGGCAACGGACAGTCAGCTTGGGCAGCTCTGAACGCGCGGTTTGATGCCTGCACCCAAGAAGCTCGGCGTGCGTGCCACCGGGATCTCTTCGGCCTCAAGCACGTTGCGGGTGGCGATCCCATCGACTTCTTCTCCAAGGCGTGCGAGCTGAGGCTCCGCCTTGAGACACTGGGGGAGACAGTATCCGACGACGTCTACCTGGATATCACGCTCTCGGGCCTGACGTCCGTCCCGGAGTTCCACTTCATCCGGGAGATGCACTACCGCAACGAGTTTACGTCGGTCGACGATCTGCAGGACACGGCCACCCGCTTCTTTGTGGACCAGCAGTCGCGCAAGGCGGCGGGACCCGCGGTCTCGGGCAGGGGAGCCGCGATGGCCGCATCCAGCAGCGACCAGTGTCACCGCTGCAAGGAGTTTGGGCACTTCCAGCGTGACTGTCCGAAGTCTGCGCCGCTGTCCCGCGCAAGGAAAGGCAAGAAGCCGAAGCCGCGCAAGACGCGCGGAGGTGGCTGGACTGGGCAGTCCAAGTGGTGCTCCTTCCACAGGACGACGACGCACAGCGATGCTGAGTGCAAGGCTCAACACAAGAAGAAACAAGAGGAGCTTCAAGGATTGGCTGCGAACCTGGCCCTGCTTCAGGCAGCTGGCCCGGCCAATTTCGCCCACCTTGGGAGCGCCCACTTGGCGCAGCCGTTTCAGGCGGCAGCGCCCCAGGCGGCAGCGCCCCAGGCGTCTCAGGCTCCTTCGGAACCCACCACGTTCGGGTTCTCTTTCAACGCTCTCGGCGCCTCTGCAGCCCCTGCCGCCTCGCAGGCGGCTTCCGCGTCTGCCTCGTCCGCATCTCCTGCGCGGGACCACCACCTGCCTTCTGGGTACTTCGGTGCCTTTATGGCCTCTTTTGCGGAGGAAACGTCCCCGGCTCTTCCTCGCTCCGATGGATCGTCTATCCTAATGTTGATGGATAGCGGAGCGACGGACAACTATCTCGATCCTGCGCTTACGCCTGGCGTACGGGCTCACATGCGCGACATCGAAGACCTTCGGATTCCGCTTCCGATCATTACCGCCGGGCAGCACGTTCTTCACGGCGTTACGACGGGGGTGCTCTTCGGCACGGTCACTGACGACAGCGGCCAGGACAGGCAAGTTTCTTTTCGTGTCGTGTTAGTTCCGGGACTGGGGACCAACCTCTTCTCCGTCACCGCTGCGCTGTCGAACGGCGTGGCATCCCTCTTTTATCCGGGCAACCCCAGGCTGGAATCGGCGAACGCAGTCGTACCGATGAAAATCCAAGGAGTGAATAACACCGGGAAGATCACTTGCTCCATCACCATCAAGCTCGGCGCCGAGAATGGCGGTCGACAGACCCCCGGGGAGACTCCTGACGGACTTGCCTTGAGGGTGGAGACTGCTGATCTTTGGCACCGGCGCATGGGGCACATCAACAACAAGAGCTTGGATGTGTTGAGGCAGCAGGCGGCCAGCGGCATCGACTACCGTGGCCACGTGCAGGACTGCAGTGCGTGCCCTCTTGGTAAGAGTTCTCAACAGCCANGGACAGGCAAGTTTCTTTTCGTGTCGTGTTAGTTCCGGGACTGGGGACCAACCTCTTCTCCGTCACCGCTGCGCTGTCGAACGGCGTGGCATCCCTCTTTTATCCGGACAACCCCAGGCTGGAATCGGCGGACGCAGTCGTACCGATGAAAATCCAAGGAGTGGATAACACCGGGAAGATCACTTGCTCCATCACCATCAAGCTCGGCGCCGAGAATGGCGGTCGACAGACCCCCGGGGAGACTCCTGACGGACTTCCCTTGAGGGTGGAGACTGCTGATCTTTGGCACCGGCGCATGGGGCACATCAACAACAAGAGCTTGGATGTGTTGAGGCAGCAGGCGGCCAGCGGCATCGACTACCGTGGCGACGTGCAGGACTGCAGTGCGTGCCCTCTTGGTAAGAGTTCTCAACAGCCGCACCCCAAGCACGCCGTCTACGGCGTTTCAACCCCCTTTCAGCTCGTTTTCGTTGACACCCTTGGCCCATTCACGCCTACTGCGTTGGGCGGTTTCAAATACGCCACCAAGTTTGTCGACCAACACACCAAGTGGAAGGAGGTCGTTCTTATGAAGGATAAGACTTGCTCAATTGACGCCCTCGAGTTGTTCAACAAGGGAACCGTCATCCCCCGTAGCGCACGCATCCATGTGCTACGTGCGGATAAGGGGACCGAGTTTACGAACGCGGCTTACCGACAGTACTGCCTGGACGTTGGCATTCAGCTGCAATTTGCGTCTCCAAACACCCCCCATCAGATCGGAGCGAATGAGCGTGCCGGCCGAACGATCATGAACATCGTGCGTTGCATGCTCGCTGATTCTACGCTGCCGAGCCTTCTTTGGGGAGAACTGATGCAGACGGCGGTCTACCTGAGCAACCGGACTCCTCATGCAGCCTTGCACAACGGAACGCCGCACAAGGCGCTGTTTAGCACGGACGCGCACCTTGGACACCTTCGGGTGGTCGGGGCACGGGCGTTTGTGCATGAAGAGACGCACACTAAGAAATTGGACAGCCGTGNGGTCTACCTGAGCAACCGGACTCCTCATGCAGCCTTGCACAACGGAACGCCGTACAAGGCGCTCTTTGGCACGGACGCGCACCTTGGACACCTTCGGGTGGTCGGGGCACGGGCGTTTGTGCATGAAGAGACGCACACTAAGAAATTGGACAGCCGTGCATGGGAAGGACGGTTGGTGGGCTACAGCCTGGACAGCAAATCCTACCGTATCTATAACGCTCAGACGAGGGGAGAGTCGCAACGGTATCTTCATCGAAACGAACCCCGCGCCGCCTTCGTTGGACGAGCGTGGGTTTGACGACGGGGAGTTCACTTACGCCGACCACGACGACATGATCCGAGATGTGCGCAACTACACCACCAACCACTCGGTCGATGCGCTTTCTCCCACTCATGCCGTCGGGGATCCGTCTGTTCTCGAGCTTCTCGAGGACATCTCCACCGTCCACAACCGTGACCTTGGGACCAACTCCGCAGACCCTGCTCCTGCCGCAGAGGATGCGCCTGCGGACGACAGCCTTGCCTCGCCTGGAGGAGTCAGCCCTCCTGAGCCGGGTGACTGTGCATCATCACCGGCCGCATCGTTGTCTGCTCCTGCTCCGGCCGGTTCAACATCCAGTCTTGCGACACCGCCTGGAGCGTCGGGTACTGTTTCTGCTCCAGTTGGCGCTGCATCGCGGGGTGGTTCTGCGCGTGGACGTGGTTCATCTCGTGGTGGCAGTGACGCCCGCGGTGGCTCTTCGCGTGGTGCATCTACGCGTGGTGGGCGTGGCTCGGTGAGTGGACGTGATTCTCGTAGTGGACGCAGCTCCACGTCAGCTCCTCCTGACACCAGGGTTACCCGGGCAATATCGCGCGTGCCCAACAAGAAGACCCTCAGCGAACTTCGTCGACTCTCGTATGCGTTTCCCGCGATGGGGGAATTTCCTGACGTTGCGCACAGGGACGCCACGTTGGGCTTCACGGAATACGCACACACCGTAGGGGGAGTACAACCAGACGTTCCTAGAACCATTCAGGAAGCACGGGCTTCACCGGACGCAACGAAGTGGAACGCAGCCGCTGAACGCGAGATGAAAAGCCTCAGCGACCGCAAGGTCTACAAGCTCGTCCCGCGCTCGGCCGTCCCTCCGGAAAGGAAGCGCATCAAGTCCAAGTGGGTGTTCAAACGCAAGGCCGACGGGACTTTCAAGGGACGTGTCGTGGCCCAGGGTTGGAACCAAGTTCCCGGACTCGACTGCGGCAGCACCTACGCTCCAGTGTGCAGGATCCAGAGCGTGCGAATGGTGGCGTGCATCACAGTTGAGTTCAACCTCATCTTCGATCAGATGGATGTTTCTACCGCTTTCCTCTACGCGGACATCCAAGAAGAAGTGTTCGTGGAACAACCACCCGGTTTCGAGGTCAAGGACAAGGATGGAGGTGACATGGTAATGAAGCTGAATAAGAGTCTCTACGGACTTGCTCAAAGCCCAGGCAACTGGTTCAACACCATCGATCCCGTGCTCGTCGAGATTGGATTCGTCGCACTCAAGTCAGACCCGTGCGTGTATTTGTACGATCACAACGGGGCCAAGATCTACCTGACTCTCTACGTCGATGACCTTCTCCTGGCCGGCAACGACTCTGACGCCATTTCGATGGTGAAAGGGAAGTTGCAAAAGCGCTTCAAAATGACCGACCTGGGGGAAGCATCTCTTGTCCTCGGGATGGAAATTAGGAGGGATCGCGAGGCAAATACCTTGACCATTTCCCAGGAAGCGTACTGCAAATCAATCCTTGAACGGTTTGGGATATCGGGCTCCAAGCCGACCAGTACACCTGGGTACGGCTCCGAAATCTCTAATATCCAACCAGAAGACACACTTCTCGACGAGAAAGAGACCCGCAAGTACCAAGGGATCGTGGGATCACTCATGTACATTGCGCAAGTGTTGAGATACGACATCATGTACGCGACAGGTCAGCTGGCTCGCCCGATGGCGAAACCCAGCAAGGTTCACATGGTGGCGGCAAAGCACACCCTTCGTTACTTGGCTGGAACGATCGATTTCAGCATCACTTACAAGAAAGGTGGTTTCAAGCTCGCGACTTTCTCGGACTCCAACTGGGCGAACAACCCTGACAACGGGAAGTCCACCTCGAGCTACCTGACGGTGCTGGCGAACGCTCCCATGAGCTTCAGGTCAGGACTGCAAGGTCTGACAGCAATGTCCACCATGGAAGCAGAGCTGGTCGCATCGGCGCTGGCGATGAATGAAGCAGTGTTTTTCTCCAACATGATGACGGAGCTTGGATTTGGGAAAGAATTTGCACAACTGCCCGTGTACTGCGATAACACGGCTACTCTACATGCATTGGGGAACCGGTCCTTCAGCTCGAGGACCAAACACATCGCGTTGCGGTTCTTCTTTATTCGAGAACTGGTGACGGAGGGGAAGATCTCCATCCATTACGTCCCGACGGAGGACAACCTCGCCGACATCGGTACCAAGCATTTCAACAAACACAGGTTCAAACACCTAATGGATCTCATCAACAACTTCGACGTCAACGAGTTCACCGCCGTCGAATATAAAGGAAAATGAATGATTTGTTTGTTTGAATTTTCTGTTTCGGATGCAGTTTACATTTTCATTTTAGTTATGTAGGAAACAAGTACTAACACGTAATTGAAACACGGATGAAACGCATTTACTTGCTTGAAATTATCATCATTAGTTTGGTACAATTCAGAGCAACTTTCATTGAGGAGGAGTGTTATGGAAATGTTAGCACATAGCCATTATGAGTCAATGTTCAGTAGCACTGCACTTGTACGTCGTATCATCGTTGATCTGTTATGTGCCGGTTGGTATCTAACGTGCGTTGTATATGCGGAGGAATTACTTCTGTAGGATTCTATGTTGCCTTGACGAGTAGCTCACTCTCTCGTGTGGATCCTTTCTGACTGTCTGGCATCGTAGCCATCCTGGTCATCTCCAGTACCCAGCCATCTTCTGGACTCCTGCATACTCTGCGGTTTATCTGTGTGTGTTGGCCACATAAGCGCCAGTGTTTACAACATCTTGTCACCTTCTTTATCACACGGAAGCACTCACGTATTCCAGGGCGTCCACTACACTAGTGTCACCAACTTGATTAGCGTCAAGGACACAGCCTCTCTGCCACCTTGCTGGGGTATACCACAATATCCATAATATATTTCAATTCCGATAGCTCTTTCGATCTTCCAGGGCTATACGTGGAAATTGATGGGATGGTAAATTTGATGGTAATGGGATGGTAATGGGATGGTAGTCGGATGGTAGTCGGATGGTAGGAGGTTTTGGATCCCATCACGTTTACCATCCCATCACCATCCCATCGGATTCAGAGTACCATCCCATCCCATATAGAATTTACCACGTCGCTCCTATCCCATCCACACTCCCATCACAATGGTGTATCCCATCTCAGCAACTACCATCACAATGGTGTATCCCATCCCAGTCACTTCCATCACAAAGCGTATCCCATCCCCCATCCCAGCCACTCCCATCTAACTCCCCAGCCAGCCGCAGATTTCCTACGACTACCCATCCCCTGCGTACCTATTCTACTGCTGTAGAAACATACCCCCTGTTGTACCACCAGTTGGCGTCCCCCCCCTCTGCCTCTTGCCTCCCACGAAGCCGGTTGTGCTGCTGTGTGTGCACACCAAACAATGGCGGACGGCGAAGCTAATGGTGGTACCAACAGTAGTGAGTCTACACGGCAGTCTCCGGCAACAGCTCCTACAGCAGCTCCCGCTAGCAACAACGGTGTCAACAAGAGCATGCAACAACCGCTGCTGGCGCACGCGCGGATGGTTCTGAACAGCCTCCAGCGGAACGTGCGCCTGGCTCGTAGAACCTACGCGTGCGTGTGTGTTTCTTTTATTTTGGGCGTAGCATCTCGTATAAAACGAGTATGTATGCCAATATGACGTATGCAACGAGGAAATGAGGAGCCGTACTGGCACGATTTTCAATCACTCGCCTTTAGACGAAATTGTTCAAAGAGGTGAATGCTATGCTTCGCTGTTTCCTCGCCATGAACAGGAGAGGCGGCAAATCTGACACACATACATCAATACCATCACCATCACCAGCGATAACTTGATTTGTTACCATCCCATCCCCCCACCCCTCCGTGTACGTATCCATCCCATCCCATCAACGCTTTGTGCACGTATCCATCCCATCCCATCGCAACATCCAGCAGTTCCCATCCCATCCCCAGCAACGAGGATTTGCCAATACCATCCCATCCCATCAGCTCTGCCATCCCATCCCATTCCCATCCGAGAGATTGAGATCCCATCCCATCAAAGCTGATGGTAAGCCCAAAAACGTTTCCGCCTGCGGCGGGCATTTCTTACCATTCCCATCCCAGGGGACGACTGCGTCGCCACGTATAGCCCTGGATCTTTCCTCTTCACCTTAAGAAACAAAAACAAATCTGACCAAACAAAGCGCACATCCTGAAAAATATAGCACAGACGAAGAGCGTAACTACGGTCCCACCAACCTGTGTTGATTCTCGCAATTCTCAATCAACGGGCCGTCATAAAACAACACATTGCTTGTATTTCTCGAGCAATGCAACTCGCTACCGAATACATATCGGAGGCTGCATATTTTATCGTGCGTCTTATGTTGGACTATTCTTCCTCGCACGTGTGTGGTGAAGACGGTACCCCCTCGACCCCCGCGCCATAAAAAGCAACACGTTCCTGGCCCTGCGACATACACGCCAGAACGCCCTCGTCTTGTAGGCGAACCTTTTTATCACCGATCTTCTCCTCTTGTAGACGAAACTACAAAACACTGGCCTTGTCAATAGGGAGTCGCCTTGAGCACCACCAAACTACATTAGGGATATGGAAAGGCAAAAAGGCGGTGGAAAGAAGGACTTGGCCATGTTCGGCCAATAAAAAATAGCTATTAGCGCTTAGCACCAGGCACAAATCACCCACTCCACGTGCACACCCTCACGCCCGCGCGCGCTACGTCTCATTGTGTGCGCGGACACTTCTGCACGCAGAGACGTGCGCGAACTTGCCGTTTTTCTGAACTACAAGACAACCTAGTATTCCGCGGCGACGCCAATCAATAGGAAACAGAGGGGAACTTTGCCCACACACGCACTTGAGCTTCACAACGGGCGGGACAACTTTTTGCCGGCCCTGATCTACACTTTCTATTGTTGTTTACATTTCTCTTGCAACACGTGTACAGTTCGTGTACGAGCCTAATCGTTTGTAGGCTTGGAAGACCCGTTCCAAACCGAAATACGAAGTAGGTCCAATCGCCAATTCAGCGGGCTATCCATGCTCTTGAAGTACACGTTATCTGGGAAGAATTTCAACATAAAGCGTGGGTATGTTCCGCCAGTCCAGCGCATCCCCCTTCCGTCGTCAGTACCAGGGGATCAACGTAACACAACAATTAATGCTGCGCTTACGCGTTCCCTTCGACCCGTCCTTCGCATGGTACACTCGCCATATTGTGGCGGGCTAGAATATTCAGCGTGGTTGAGGAGACAAGCAATATGTAAAACAAGCATCGTCGGCATATTGATGCATGTACACTCCCTCCACACTCGAAAAGGTAACTTCATGCTTGGTTACGTCACACGCCAACGGTCAGCATGGCCTGGATATCCTGCACGCCGTCCTCGTTAAACATCTAGTGGCGGCCTCGAGGGGTAGGAGTGGCAGAACCAGCACCCATGTCGTCCGGGGCCGAAATTCGCCGGGTGCAGGACAACAGGGGGCCATTCGCGGCCTGACCGAAGAAGCCCAGGACGATGATGACTTGGATGAGGCCAAACACGAAAGCGGTCATGCCCAAGCCATAGGTGTCCCCGGTTTTGGCCTCAAAGGCACCGCCACCATAGCGGTTGTCTGTTGTGCATGGTCATGTAAGGAAAAGGGAAGGGGAAGGGGGGGGTCATTGTGTAGTCCCGTGTGCAGCACACAACAATGAAGACGGAAGAGGGCAATCGCTATTCCGGTGTGTCGGCTGTCACATTTTGCATGCATAACTGACCTTCTTACTTGAGGCATTGTTGGCACAAACAAGAAAGGGGGTCTTTGCTTCAAGCACGTGAAAATAGGGTCCTTGAAACTTCACGGACGCGCAAGCTTGCTCCCCAACATCCAACACCTTTTTGATCAGGATTTGCCCAAAAAGACGGTGTCGGTATATTTTGTCCAATTACAGGGCATAGCTAGCGTTCTTTCTCCCACCCAATGTCTTGTTGTAAAGCAGGCGTCCTTAGCTCGGTGCATTCGACTCTCATTGGTAGTACAACGAAACGAACGTAGTCTAGATGGGCGTAAACAAGATGCCCATCACACCTCGACAACCTGTTGACGGTGTTTTACCGCCGCAAGAACCGGCTTGAAAGTCCCCGTACATTTGTGCTGTGTACTCCGTTCTTCTCGATCAAGGCCACTGCCGCTCAACACGGGAGTTAGAAACACTCTTACACTCACATTCTTGGATGCTCTTGACGAGGAACAGAATTGACACCATCTGGAAGAATGTGAATAGGGCCATGAACACGCCACCGACTAGGCCAAAGCCCTTGGAGGAACCGTGCCTAGCATGAGACGGCCGAAAGAAGGAGACCGTGAATAGCAGCACGGCCACGGAGCACATGACGGTAGCTGCTTTCTGCGCCGCCGCGAACTTTCTGTCTGCAACGGTAGCCATGAGTTGGACCGCCGGGCACCATCAACACGCAAATAAGAACGAAAAACGGGTGGCACGTGCGAACTAGTTATTTTTTGTCCCTGGTAGCCACAGCGCGCATGATGATCCCGGAAGTACCAATAAACTGCTCTTGAACACCACTGGTGCTATTATTGCCGCTACTTGTGCTGGTGTTTCGGCCCTCCACCGCCTGTGTCATCAACCAATATGCAAGAGGAACCACGCGAGGGCCAGATGTGCATCCTACTAAATATTTCAGTAACAGACAGTGCCTCGAGGACCTGGGAGAGGATGTCATCAGAACCAAAACGAAATGTATTCCATGGAACGGATTTTTGCTTTACTTCGAACACATAGTGCTAAACGTTCCGCAAGCGAAACGTAGAAGAACGTTTCCATGCCTCCAACGCCTGCACTCGATTTCTGACTAAAACCAAACACTGGTACAAATTAGCCCGCCTCCGCTCTCGCAAGAGTAGAAAAAGGAGATTCTGCAAGCACATGAAAACCAACAATTGTTCTCTCATGAGACGACTTCGCCCGTTCCAGTGATTGAAGCTATACCCCTGTGCTCGGGAAGCGAGGGAAGAGGGTGTGTGTCTAGTCAGGAGTCAAAGCCTCCCGAAAAGCAGGATAAAAGAGGAAACGCAATTGACAATGTTGAATCACCCACTGCCAGTGAACAAGGTACTCTTACTGAGACAAAGCATCCCACCAACAATGCCGAGAAAACTCCTAGAACCTCCTAAACGACAACCCGTACGTACATTGAATCCACGCATTTTTTCCTCGCCAGGCTACACAATGAGGTATTCTCCCCGCGGTTACAGAACCAAATGCGTATAACGGTATTTGGTCTAAAAGTGACTCACGAGCTGTGCAAAAGGAGTCGTTAGCGTCTCCCTCGTCGCAGGCAAACCCGGTGGCCACGCCGTACCCGTCTCCCGCGGGCAGCTCTCCCCAGTTGTCGTCTCCGGCAGCCGCAGTCGTCAAGATCCATACGACCCAGCCAAAACCACAGCCGAACCAATACACTTTACGGCATGTCGGGTGAACTGGTGGCTGCTTTGGGCACGCACGTTTGGTTGGGACGTGGGAGGTACATGAGAGGAGGAAGGTGAAAGGTGAAGGGTCGTGTTGTACTCAAGGGCGTCCAACATCCGCGATGCTGGATAACATGCTTTTCGCAACCGCAGAAAATAGCGAGGATAAATCTCGCTGTGTGACCCCGGTGGGTGCGTCAAACATACACAGCACAGTGAATGATGACTGGGAGATCGTGTAGGTGGCACGGAGAAAAAAAGAACAAGAGGAACTCACCAGCCTTGGTCAAAGTGCTTTCAACAACTCGTCAATGAGCTGGAAACAGAAATGAAGGTCTTAAAAACGTTCTGAAAGATATTGCTCATGACTTGCAGTACCGCTGATTGATGAGTTCATTTTCTAGGTAATAGTGAAGGCTAGCATGTCGTCGCCTCTGGGCAATCCTGTTTAGTGGTGTTTGAACTCTCAGAAATGTTCCCCCAAGCACGCCGGCAGACACGCTTCTTTTACGAACAGTCGGACCGCCCGCAGGAGGAACGAAACGGTATGAGAGAACTGCTCGCACCGAGTCGTCTATTTCTCCGCAAAGCTGTGAATTGGAGCCGCTGTATGTGTACACTACGTGCACTGCACAAATGGATCCCGTCTATTGCAAGGATGGCTCAATGCTCGACTCTTTTGCGCGCACAAACAACGGGCGGGTCGCGGAAACTGCTGGTAGCGCTTTTGCTACTTTAAGCCACATTTCCGCGCTGACAGGACCAACCTATCGTGCACCGAAGGTCACTGGTGCAGGGTATTCCAGTGTGTCCATGATGAATGGCAGAAATATAATGAAGACTACATGCGCATCTGTGCAAAGTCGTCAACAGGAAGACGTCATGCCGATGCTCCAGTGTTCAATTTGGAGCGCAAACTTGTCGTTCCACTTGCATGCGACTGTTTGTTTCAAATCGGTATGATCCATGGTGCCCGAACTTCCTCAGCCCGTTTGAGCGCCATGTTTGTATTTCAGTCCGAATGTAAACACAGAGTAGGTGGGTTGCGAGCTGCGTTGTGCGTGAATTAATGCGAGAGTCGTACCAAAGTGTATAGACTGTATGGTACATGCCACCAGACCTCTGTCACAGCAAGAAAACAGGCACAGGGACGTCAAGCAGCGACTCACCTCCGGTTTCAGGTAAAGGCTGTCACCGTCGTGATCCCCCATCATGCGTTTAGCTTCCGGTTGTGAGGGATGTTGGTCCTCGATGTTGGTAGGTTATACACTCTGGCGCGCTTGCGGCGAGCTCGCGACGGGGGTGCAAATGGGACGCCTCTCTTCGCTGAATTTTTTTGGATAGCGGAGGTCTGGCCGCATAGGGTGCCGAACCGGCACTTTTGCGGGGTGGCGAACCAATTATTCACCCAGCGACGAGCCATGAACCAACTGAGCATCGAGCCACCACCGAGCACCGAGCCACCAACGTGCGGGAGACGTCATGCATACAGTCCTGCTATCCTAAATGCTACAGTCAACAATACATGCCGGTCCCCTTGAACACGAACCTTACGTCACCCAGTGTTGCGTGTGTGTGCTCCGTCGAGAAGCTGCATCGCAAGCCCCCTAGTCTAATGATGTCCACATCGGGGTTGAGAGGTCATCATCATCGCTGTCGAGCTGTGACGACGGGCCGGAGACCGTTTCTTCTTCCTCCCACGTCCAACCCCAAATCCTTGCTTTTGTTGTCATCATGGGGGGGTCCGTATTGTGAGACTTCATATTTCTCCATTTCTCTATTGTCGATCAGATGGGCTCATTCTTACGAGATTTTCTGCTTGCGAACGGGCTGGACCATCTGCTCGCCCCCGTCTTTCCGTGGTCACCACGTCCTGGAGACGACACCAAGTGTGACGATATCTTAGCGTGGAGCTAGTCTGACCACTGCTGTGTGCAGACTTGCGGCTCCGTTTCAGTAGAGTATAAGAAAGTATCATTTTCCTCCCTTTCACGCTCAGTCGCTCATCGCTGTCGCTAACTCTCAGGCAGGAAACACTGGACATACGTGTGGGAGCGCATGTATGCATGCTGCTTGCCGCCACAGGTCCGCTGCTTGTATGTGAACACGGATTGGAACAGGGTCTAAGCAGTCGGTGCATCCTGCAAGATATATCCGCCCATATGGCATCTTGGGCGAAAGGCTCAAATCACCGTTACGTGTTGTTTTACTACTGCCTCCGACTGACTAGTCTAGTCTATATCGTGTGTTCTTTTTCACAAAATAATTGATTTCGGACAATTGCACTCTGGTACAGACCATGATTGCAATGCTTCTGCAGCATATCGATATATGTCCAAGTGAAACTTTTCGAAAGCTAGTCCACGTCGACTCCAACAAGCGTATCTGCCCTACCGACATGACGCTGGTTAGATAGAACCTCACTCGGTGGTGAGGCTCGACGAGACTCGGTGCCAAATCCATGTGAACTTTGCACTGGCAGTCGTTCATCTGTATCCCACTTTCTCTCGTAAAATGCATGCATGCGTGGAATTCCTCCGCCCGAAACTTGCCTACGTTTGGCGGTCGCTCTCCCTTACTCTCATTTGCAGAACAGGTGTACATCATTTTCTTCCCGACGGTCGGCGACACGCCTCTCGATCGGAAGGTGTGTAGTCTACCAGGTGAACACACATTTCACTGACAACGCGTGCTCCCTCGCTTTCACGACCTGAAAAACAATCAAGGGCCTCTGCTTGGTTTACTTTCGCCACTTGCTTTCTGCAGTAGTGCTGAAAGCATCTGAGGTTCCCCTCCGTCTTCCGGCTGTCTCGCCCACACCAGCAACAGTGCACGTCTGGCGTGCACTACCGCCTTTCCCGCTCGCTGTCGACCCTGCCGAAGGATCGCCCACGCCTCCTCTCTCTACGTGTCGGTGCCACCCAGTCTTAGCTTCCTCCTCCCCTGCTGAAGCTGATGTCACCACCAACCCGTTGTCGCGCCCCTTGCGGTGAGCGACCATCATGCCCTTGAACTCGGCGAAGTCTCCCACGGCCATGAGGATATCGATGACGTCGCCGACCACTTCGCCTGCGGCGGTTTGGTGCAAAACGTTCGGGGCTGAAAAAATGCATTCTCTGTAGTCTAGAGGTGACATTTCACTTTTTTCTTGTCTACAGTGAACAAGAGCAAGAGAAGGGGCTCGTAACAAGGGGGGGGGTAAGCGTGAAGGTGACCTTTGAGAAGGTCCCATGTACCCCAACGGCAATTCATGCAGAATAAACCTCCCGGGCTAACTTCCCTTTCAAAATTCCTGGATGAGCAGGAAAACAAGTCTGATGCAAAAATTCACGTGCAAGAATTGCATGCATTTCTTTTTCTGGTGCGATTGGGTGAGAGAATGCCACCCGACGCTACTTGAGATCTCCAGCCCAACACAGGCAGTGACACCACCTCTAGCGTGATCTGCGTCGCCAAACTTTCAACGTAACGTATGCGGCTTTCCAGATACACGTAGTCTTTTCTCACCTTGGCGCTCGGCCACCATTTTCATGAACGTCTCCATTTCGAAGCCCCTGATGCGTTGTCGGAGCCACCCGTCGAGATGCCGTTCTGCTCTCCCGTGCGCGGCACGCCAAGCCGGTCATCGGATCAGAGACAGAGACAGCCGCAGAAACAACACAAGATGGGAGAGACGGAGACACGACTTGTGGTTTGTTGCTCGTTGTGTATGAAACATATGTTGGGGTGTTTGCTGTGCAAGACCGACTCTATTCTGCTGTATGTGTTTGATACGGTATTGTGAAGGCGTTCTGTTTTACTGTAACCGTCAGGTGCAGACAGTCCAGGCGTCTGTGTGTGGATAATAAATCACTCT